CAGCAGCTTCCGGACCCCACGGTGAGTGTGCGGTGACCCCCAGCACCCTGTCACCTCTGTTACCCCAGGAACCCTCCCTGGCCCCACCCCCAGGCTGAGCCGTAAGCCCCTGGAACCCCAGAACTGGCTGAGGACCCATGTCAGCTCAGGACACCCCCCCCCCCCGCCCCCAGGAGGAAAGGATCAGAGGGCGGGGCAGCTACAGCTCCTTGGTCCTGGCCCCGGGAAGCCCGGCCCCGGGGAGGGGGCTGCAGTCCGGCCCTGGCCATTGGCACCCCTGAGGCCGCCGTGCGTGGACTGTGGACACAGGGACTCGAAGCTGGAGGCCCCAGCCGAGGAGGACGTGTGGGAGATCCTGCGACAGGCGCCCCCGTCCGAGTACGAGCGCATCGCCTTCCAGCACGGAGTCACCGACCTGCGGGGCATGCTCAAGAGGCTCAAGGGCATGAAGCGCGACGAGAAGAAGAGCACAGGTGAGCACTCAGCTCCAAACCAGGGACAGGGCCCAGGTGAGCCCTCCCGCTCCAAACCAGGGACAGGGCCCAGGCGAGCCCTCCCGCTCCAAACCAGGTACAGGGCCCAGGCGAGCCCTCCCGCTCCAAACCAGGGACAGGGCCCAGGTGAGCCCTCCTCTCCAAACCAGGGACAGGGCCCAGGTGAGCCCTCCCGCTCCAAACCAGGGACAGGGCCCAGGCGAGCCCTCCGCCCCAAACCAGGGACGGGTGAGCCCTCCGCTCCAAACCAGGAACAGGGACAAGGTGAGCCATCCGCCCCACACCAACCACAGGCGAGTCCTCCGCTCGAAACCAGCGACAGAGCTCAGGCGATCCCTCCGCTCCAAACCAGGTACAGAGACCAGGTGAGCCCTCCCGCCCGAAACTAGGGACAGGGCCCAGGCAGTTCTTCTTCTTCGTACCCAGGGACAGGCCCCAGGTGAGCGCTCAGCTCCCACCCCTCTGACAGCGCCCAAGGCGAGCGCTCAGGCTCTAAACCAGGGACAG